TTTTAATTATAAATTAATATACAAAAAAAATATTATAATCACTTAATGTTATTAAAGGAAAAAAAAAACAAAACTGAAATTTATTAGATAATTATTAATTAAAAAATGTGACCACAAATTAAAAAATTTAAATGGATAAATTTGTTAATAAAATTAAAAAATTCTAATACACTAGCGGTTTGGTACAAAAAGCTACATAAACTAACTTTTTCAATCTGCTAGCGATTTGAACCATAACCGCTATCCGCTAGTTTCAAACCGCTAAATAAAAATTTTACCAAACACTTTAATTGTAGCGGTTTCGAAATATATAAATTTACCAAACACCTATATTTAGCAGTTTAGGTAAAACTGCTAACCGTTACCGTAAAACCGCTAACCATTACCTCAAAACCGCTATACCAAACGGGGCCTTAATATAATTATAAATATCATTATAAAATTATTTAAATTTTCACAATTAATTACAAATTAATAAAAAAAATTTGACTACATTTCCCCTAAAAATTGTACTTTCTCTTGTAAACAATGTATAAAAATACATTCACTCATGTATATATTTCTTCCATTTATGATATTCAATAAAATTAAAAATCAATTTGATTTCACTTAAATGAATAAAAAGTTCAAATTTATCACAAATCCAAAGAATACTTTTGAGCACATTAATCAACATAATTATAAATACCATAGTAAATTACTTAAAATTTCATAACTCATTATAAATTTATAAAAAATTCGACAAAGTTTCCCTTAAAAATTGAACTTTTCTCTTGTAAACAAAGTACAAAAATACATTCAACCATGTACATATTTCCAACTATCTATACCACTCCTTAAGATGATTGAATAGAACTATCAGGCATTGTATACGGAGCCCGCTTATGGTGTGAGACTCGTTACTCAGCAGGGTCCATGTAAATGGGCATTCCATAAAGTTGCCCATCCTTGGAAGGTCCACTCGAAACTTAGGACAAAAGTTGGTGTCACACCCCAGAACCCAAATCCGGGGACGTGACAGACACCGTGCACTCATGAGAGGATCCCACAAATGCACAAAGCTCGGAACTTATCCAATTCACATCTGTCAATCCAATAACTTAAATAAGATATTTCAAAATAATTTCATGTCCAACATGACTTAAGCTCAAAATCTCAAGGTCAAATCTCTTGTAAACTAACAATCCATTCAATGAATTTATAAAATCTCCAATTAAAATCTAGCTTATAAGATCATGATTTATATCTAAAATCTATATCAAATTACAAGTGGCTAGCCTTCTAACTCATCACTCACCTCGTTTTTCCCCGTCCTTGACTTCACTTCCTGAAATGGTGGACAAAGAAAAACTATGAGATAACTCAGTAAGTAAATATGGATAGCCCTTAATTAAACTTATAGCATGCCAACAAGTGTAATCACGAAAAACAGATACAGTATGGAAATAAAATAAACGTCTCCTCTATAGGTCATGGCCAGTGTTATAAACCTCCCACTAGCAGGCACACTATTTGTTGGGGTATAACCCTCACTAGCAGGGTCACTTGAACGAACCGGTTCTATCAATAACATGTCGACATGTGCTAGCGTTTATAAACCCCCACTAGTAGGGTCACTAATAACATGACCACATCGGAGACAAAACAAGCAGAAGTTAACAAAAAAATCATAATTCACCAATCACTTTCAAATCATCGGGACAATCAATTAAATTTCAAGTAGACATGCTTAATTTAATGAAAAGCATAAAAATTTCACTTCAAATCAGTCATGCTCGTGTAAAACGGGTTTAGTCCCGCCACCACTTCCAAAACAAGTCAAAAGATGCTTTTAAAAACTATACGGGCATTATCATAAATTTACTTACCTCACTCGTGTAAAACCGAGGACTCAATCCAAGTGCTCTAAACTGACAGAACGATTAGGAACCTAATCAAAATATCCAAAAATTAATTATCGTACCACGGGTTCAAAAGTAAAATTACCATGACTACCACCTAATCACGATGCTATTTCTATCAATCTCCACATTGTTGGTCATCAGTGCATGAACAGGCCCGTGAACAGTGCTCACGCCGTGAACAGTAACTGCATTCCAAAAATTGGCAAAACCATAGCTAATCTCACGGGATTTTCTCCAAAATCTCACGGCAGCCAAAATAAACTAATTTTCTACATGAATTAAGCTAAATCATGGTCTAATTACTGTCAAATTTCTCCCCTATTTCCAGCAGAAAATTCGGACAAAAAGGGCAGTAAATAAATGGACAAATTCAGCAACTAATTGATGAAATTTCGGGCTTGGAGGAGCTGTCAACATACCAGAATTTTCCAGCTGCAGATTGGGGAAGCCGGCGGGAAGTGCAGGGAAATTTAGGGGAAACTACTGAAAATTGGAGAAACCAAGAGAAATCAGTGTTAACCCAAGCCAATTCAAGGAAGAACAGAGGATTTAATGACTGTTGCTTACCGAAAAATCAAAGGAATTTGCACCCACAAACCGGCAAGAGCAGCAACCGGACGGACAGAGCAGAGCAGATCCCGATTTCTGCAGAGGGGGGGGGGGAATTTCTGGGTTCTATATGTGTTCTAGAACAAGAAAAGAAGGAGAAATCGCCAAGCTTTTACCGGTTTTTTTCAAAGGAAGGCTGTCGGCTTGGCTGGGTTTTTGTTGCTCGGTGCAGGGGAGGAAAAAGAAGAGCAGGCGCGCGCGTCAGGAAGAAGAAAGAAGGAAAAAATAGTGGATCCTTATCCAAATCCTTTTCTCTTTTAAATCTCTCAACTTTTGAAAATTTGGCTATCAAGTCCCAGAATAATATTTCCTCACAATCAAGTCCTTAACTAAGTGCTAAAATATCACAAAATTTTGGGATATTACAATTGGGCATCAACTACCATTGGCCATGCAGTTCTATCCTCCCCATAATTTTGAATGGCCTCTGCAGTTAATCATTCCTGCAATAAATTATATAACATATTTATTATATAATTTAATAAAATATAAAAACATTATATACTTAACTATATACTTGCAACTGTGATACTCAATATAATTATAAATACCATAATAAAATTACTTAAATTTTCATAATTAATATAAATTAATGAAAAATTTGACAAAATTTTCCCTAAAAAGTATACATTTCCTTGTAAACAATGTATAAAAATACATTCATTCATATATATTTCTTCCATTTATGATATTCAATAAAATTAAAAATCAATTTGATTTCACTTAAATGAATAAAAAGTTCAAACTAATCACAAATCCAAAGAATATTTCCAAGTACATTAATCAACATAATTGTAAATACCATAATAAAATTACTTAAAATCACGCAATTCATTATAAATTTATGAAAGAATTCGACAAAGTTTCCCCTAAAAATTATACTTTCTCCCTGTAAACAAAGTACAAAAATAAATTCAACCATATATACATATTTCCAACTATGATCTTCAATAAAATTAAAATGCAATCTGATTTCAATATATCTAAATAAATAAAGGAGAATTGCCCTAGTTAGGCAATTAACAAAGTATCCTTAATTTTAATTATTTTTTAATATTTATAAAAATGAAAGAAAATTTCACTTTAATCCATTCTCTCAGGAAATAATAAATGGTAAAAAAAGAATACTTATAGTATACTTTTGAGCCTGCTCATCAATGGCATTTTATTTTTTTTTTCCTTTGTATGGTGTATTTTTTTGCATGGATCATATCAACGAATGGATCCCTATGTTTAGGATCTTTTTCCTTTTGCAATATCATATATTCAATTATTGTGTTAATTCACACAAACATTATAATTAACATTAAAATTATTATATAAATTATTATATGAAA